TATTATATAATTTTTATGCAATTTTCATATATTATTTTTAACTGCCTAAATGCATATAATATTATTAGTTATAATAAAATAAAAAAAATTAATTATTAAATAATACGTAAGACTATATGAAAAAAAATTAATTATTAAATAATACGTAAGACTATATGAAAAAATTAATCATTCTCTCATTTCCAATCACAGGTTGACATGCAGCATGCCAACTCGTCATACAAAGCTAAACGTGATCCTTAAATCCTTCCATTTGTTTCAATTTCTGTTCATAAAAAAAATCCTCAATTTAATTCTTAAATACTTAAAATCCTCAACATTTGAACATAAAAGAAAAGATGATTATTTCTCAATATTTTCCTCGATTTGTGATTATTTATTGTGGTTGTTTTTCTGTCATCTCTAATGATATTTTATGTAAAGTGAGGCGGAAGTGGAGGGTGCAAAACAACTTACAGAGCTACTCACCCTTAGCAGCATATTTATATTAGGTTATATAAAATGTAAAGTTACATAAAAACCCTTAATACAAAACAAAATTACAAAATATGTCATTTCCTACACTCCCCCTCAAACTGAGGCTAGGAAACCAGTGTTAGTTTGCTCACTAAAAACTTGTGTCGTGCAGTTGTCATTGTTTGTAAAAATATCTGCAATTTGATGCGTAGAAGCAATATAAGGAAGAGTAATGGCACCTACAAGATACATATTCCGTATAAAGTGGCAATCCACTTCAATGTGCTTGGTACGCTCATGAAAGACAGGATTGGATGCAATACGAATAACACTCATATTATCAGCATAAAGAGGTGAAGGAGGAGTAGGAAAAGTAAGTGTCTGTAAAAATCCTCGAAGCCAAGTCAATTCACTACATGCTAAAGACATTGCTCGGTATTTAGCTTCAGCAGTGGATTTGGACACTGTTTTCTGTTTTTTGCATTTCCAAAAAATAAGGGAATCACCAAGAAACACACACCAACCTGTGGTTGAGCGACGTGTATCAGGACAACCTGCCCAATTAGCATCTGCATAAGCTTGCAATTGCATACAAGGATGAAAGGAGAAGAAAAGTCCCCTCGAAATAGTGCCACGAAGATATCAAATTATGCGAAGAATAGCTGTTAGATGTAACCACCGAGGATCTGTAACAAATTGACTAACCACTTGCACAGCATAAGCAATATCATGTCTAGTCATAGTAAGATAAAGGAGGCGACGCACAAGTTGATGATAAAAGCTAGGATTAGAGAGTTTTTCACCATCCTCCTTCCTAAGCTTGACATTTACTTCCATTGGAGTGTCAACACATTTATCATCAGATAAATTTGCAAATTGGATCAAATCCAGAACATACTTCCATTGACTCACCGCATAACCTCGAGAAGATGAGTGAACTTCTAAACCAAGAAAATAAGTCAGTGGTCCCAAATCTTTCATCTAAAAAGAATGACAAAATAACTCTTTCAACTTAGCAATACCTTCCTTATTACTACTGGTAATAAGCATATCGTCGACATAAATCAAAAGTAGAGTAACACCTTGCGGAGAGTTATGCATGAACAAGGAATAATCATGAGAACTCTGAACAT